CGAGACTCTGATGGTGTATCACTGGCTGATGGCAGCTAGTGGGCAAGAAATCGCCATTCCAGTCTCTCTGGTCTTTGCCGGTAATGCTATATGCCTAGACGACTAGCAGCCGCTGTGCGGCTGCTAGTGAGGCTTAATAATGAGTCCCAAGGCAGAGTGGGACGCGTGAGTTCCGTTAGCGATCGGTGAAGTTCATTAACTAATATAATAATTGTTCGATGACTTCAATGTACAGAAAACTGCCGGGTGGATGGCCAATGTGGCCTTATAAAAGAACTAGAATAGATTCTGTCGGATATGCACAAATGGGCATAAAACGCATCACAAGTAAGGACTTTTCATAGCCATTTAAAAGCATAACTTATGCCGAGTGCTTCTGACAGGGCACCGAGTGTAATGTTGTTGCTCAGAGGTGCGGCCCACAGGACGAATGCAGATATTACGGTAAGGTAAGAGACAGGGGGAAAAGAAGGATTATTCGGGCCCAGAGAAACGATGGATTAACCAAACAACCGGGGTAAGGAAACGGAAGACAAAGAAGCATATCCTCCATAAGAGCTTGATAAAGAAGCTCTATACAGATGACCGTCCTGTTGAGTATGAAAACCAGCCTTTTATAGTTAACCTTCGAGCTGTGGTCTGAGTGCAATTTACAGTAACCAAGTCAAGATGCCATTACTTGCAGGTTTATCTGGGAATACGTACGCTACACAGAACAATAACCACAACCACAGCATTTCCGCTAAAACCTACAAGCCTTTTTCAGAAATCCTGTTGCCCTGGCGGCACAAGGTGGTTGAACAAACTTGAGAAAATGAGGTCGCTCCTAATAAATGAGGTTCGGCTAAGCTTGCTCCTGTCTTCAGGAAGAAAAGGTAAACGAAGCGCGAGAACCGCCACGGCCAAGTCTCATCACATTGCTATTAAGATCGTTGCTTTTGTCCTCAGGCTATTTCGGGGCTTATGTGAATCTAATACGAGACCCGAACCACTCGGATTCCGAGCTACATGTGGACCAGACCTTCAAACTGACGCGTATTCTAGAATGCCGCTATAAGTACCAGCAACCAACAGCCATCTCTTTTATTGACTTCGAAACTGCGTTCAATGTCGTTTGTAATAAGTCCTGTGGCGGATAATGGAATAAGATGGTGTTCCAGCAAAAACCATGGTCCAGGTCTACGATATTCCTACCACTGCACGAGTTCCGGTCCACCACAATCTGTTTCAAGCGTTGGATCACCGATCTGATGTTAAACAAGATTGCAGCCTACACGAAGTTGACGATGTTAACTTTGTATCGGACGCCAACTAACTGATCTCGAGTAATTTGATAATATTGCCTTGCTAGTTTTAAGCTTTCTTGACCTACGGTCTGTGGTGTTATGAGTAAAAGAAGTCAGTAAATCTTTCAATTTTAAATTAACGCTAGGAAGACCAGCGTTTTAGAGCGCATCCGTGACTAGAGGACACGCTCAGGATCAATGGCTGTCGGCACAATAAGTAAATGGTTTGGAATACACCGGAGCGACATTGCAGTTGAATGCACGAAGTGAGGAACACATTTTCTCCCAGGACTGTGGTGCT